AGGACCCGGTTTTTGTTTTGCACACTGTGTTGTGCTGTTCCCCCGTCTCTTGATAGGCTGGTGGTTGAGAAAGCAACTGTTTCCGCCCATTCTGCACCGGCTCCAGCTCAGCCATTTTCCTCCCATCTAGGTTCTGTGACAGAACTTAAATCGTGTTGGAAATGGGCGACGGGGTTCTCAAATCTTTTTTCTGGCATAAATCACCGCGTGCAACTAACTTTTCCAAGGTACGGATGTGGGAAGGGTAACATCTTGCTTACTGAGTCAGAGTGCTGCTGGATCTTACTTGATACTGTTAAGTATCTGCCCTGAATTCCAGGGCTCAAACCAGGTTAGAGCCTCTGGGCATGTGCAAAGTGTTCTCTCGCTTCTCCCCCCACCTTTGCTGAATAATTACACTTAGCCAGACATCTGGAGTTAGGAGCATGTGGCTTCTAGGTAAGCTGGACTCTTTTTACAAATTAATGTCTGAACCTGGGAGAGGGGTGTCTGAAAGTTGGTTAAATGACGTTAGAAGGTCTGTGCAAAGGACAAGAGCTTGGCAAAACATCCACAGGGCGTGATGCCATTTAAGTTCTCTAAAAAGGCTCCTCCGTTGCATGCCATGCTAGAAATCCAGCATTCTCCATCACTGCATCTGGGAAAGCTGTATCTGTTGTATTTCTGCTGTAGAAAGCAAGGAAGCCCCATAGTTAGTTGTTGAAAACAAAAACAGTAGCATAATTATGTGGAATGATCCATGCATCAATGGATGTACTAGGTAGTATTCAGTGTAAAATATTGTGCATTGATCATAAGAAAAGCTCTGCTGCACTGGATGAAAGGTCTATCTAGTCCAGCATCCTTTTCCCACAATGGGAAACACCAACTGCCTGAGGGAAGGTGATCAATAGGGCTTGAAGGCAGCAGCACCCTCCCAGCCTTGTTCCTCAGCACCTGGTATTTGGTTGTCTATTCTGTACTTTGAACAGGTGGTACCATATTGACTGCCAGCCTTTTAACAGACCCATCCCCCATGAATATTTCCAGTCCCCTTTCAGGACCATCCAAACTAATGACATCTTGTGGCAGCAAGTTTCATACATTAATTATATGCAATCATGAATGTTTTACTATGTGTGCTTCTTCCTTTCTTGGGATCACTGTAGTGCTGTGTGCTACAGTGGGCCCTTCTGTCATATGTTGCATGTAAAAATAGAAAAAGCCTTTCTGGATCTGAACCACTCTTGCAGCGTTTAGAACCTTTTTTTTAGGTGGTTTAATGTTTCTTCCTCCTCCCAATTTCAGCATGGCTGGGACAGGAAGAGGAAGTAAACAGCAAAGGCCTATATTTAGTCAGAGACATGTAGGTGGCAAATCAATATAGCTGATTTGCAAAGTCTTAGACTATTTTTTTCCCTGAGAAATTCTGAGAATGTAACTCTCCCCTTCCTGAAAGAGAACATTCTCTGAATATTCTATACCTTTCATTAATGGGGGCTGCCAACCACTCTCTCCACAATAGAACATGAGGGCTAACGGAGTTGCTTCTCTAGCCCCAAGGACACTGCCTGCCAACAGGATGGAGAATTTTGAGAAGCCATTTTTGCTTTACTCTATAGAAGAAATTATTTTGTTGTTGGATGCATTTGTTCCAGAGCAGGAGTCCTCAGTGCAGGGCCAAAAGCAAAGGAGTCCCTAGTGTGCTGCCCATGAGCATCTGATGCATTGTTCCTTGTTAGTTTTAATATATGTCCACTGATTTATATGAAATGCATATAAATACCTGGTAATTATACATAGGTTTAAAGAGAAGTGGGCCAAATATCCAAATAAGTAACTGTTCAGAGTTGAAGTCTATATGCCACTCATGTGCATATTGAAAGTGACAAGATTAATTTTTAAAAACCCTCCAACAAGCGTCTACTGGGAGTGTATAATTCAAAGGATGTTTACAGTTTATTCAGACATACAGTAAATACATGCTGTATGTAAGTACCCGCCCCCCAGGCCTAGAGAGTATGTATCTTAGTCAATTTTTAAAGACTATTCCAGTACAAAATTTATTTGGAGGAGCAATAACCTCCTCCCAAAAGAAGCAATGAATGGACATTGCCAAAACATGTGTTTACAAGAAGTATTAACTTTATTGTACCAGCAGCAGTTAGCTAAATGTGGCAGTCCCTTATTTAAAAGATGCTTCTGTGTCTAATAGATAAGAAACAAATGGTTCTGTTGCATATGATGCAGCCTAAGGCCCATCAACATGACAGGTACATTCCAAGTGATGATCCACTGATAGCAAGCACAATCTCCTTGGTTAAGTATTTTGAGAAAACTATAAAAGAGAGGAAGGAATCAACATGTGAGAAGGGAAGGAGGAGCACTTCTTAGTCTCATGCAGGGAGGTAAGTAGCAAGCGTGTTTGCATTTCCCTACACACCTCCCTGGGAGTAAGCCTCATAGAACTTGGAAGGGCTTACTTCTGAGATATGAGTTGCACAGAAGTCTTTTCCTGCCAGCTTATACCAGTGGATAAATTTACTCTAGCTGACTACCCGTACCACTTCAAATAACATATTCCCTATGTTCAAAGTGGTCATACAGACTTTTAGTGAATTTTAAACCAGGCCTGTAGATATGTGGCAAGTGTCGTTAGCTGCAATAAGTAAATGGGACTTCAGGATTCAGAGGCTTTCTATGTCTAATTACTAGATTCTACAGATGGCAATGATCAACAAATGGGGTGGGCTTGCTAGCTTCATGCCATGCTCATGGCCATTTTGCAGATAACAATTAGAGATAGGATGCTGGCCTGGGCGGGTCACTGGTCTGCAGCTCTTATGGCTTATTGCTATATTCAAGGCTGCCAAAATTTCCTTTGGCACTGATGCCTTAAAACTGGGCATGGTGATTGAAGAGATCACAAAACAGAATTTCTATCTTCCTACCTTTACTGCTCTGTGTGACAGTTGATGTCTCTGCATCTGTCCTTAATGTGAGCTGTGTCTTTCCGGGACACAGCTCTACAGTCTCTTTCAGTGGCAGGACTCCCCACACATAAAGGCATGATCCTCATTTCTGTGTTCGTAGCCAAGACAAAGTTTGGCCCAAAGACACCTTAGCCTAGGCCTGGGGAACCTTGAGCCCAGAATGTGCCTCTAGGCCTCGAATATGGACTTCAGGACTCCTGTCAGGCTGGATCTTCCTCCACCCTAGGTCTGGGTTAATATTCCTCCCTGCTCTGTCCCCAGCTGTGCAGCTGATGCAGGAAGCCTTGTATAAATTAAGGAAAGAGAAGCCCTAGCTGGAAATGTCTTTTTTGTTGTTTTTACATCCAGGACAGTCACATCTGTAATTTGCACCTTTCTGGCTCTGGTCCTGTCTGCTGCTGGAATATAACCCCCAACAAGATTTGAGTGAAGTAATATGAACCTCATCAGTAAAACGGTTTTCCTGCCTTGACTTACTTTCCAAGACTCTTTTGTTGTGGATTGTGATTTACAGACATACAAAACCTGTAAAAGCCATGCAGTGCACTGTTCTGCTCTGTGATAACTGAGCTGGCAAACTCTGTGCCTTAGTGGTAGTACGTCACTAAACTGAATTCTACAATGTGGGAGTCTACTTACTTCTTCAAATCCTTGTAGCTGCATGGTCAAGAATTAAGCAACCACTTCTCCATTCAAAGTTCAGCAACCGTTCTGCCTGCATGGGTGTCTTTGATGGAGTTTCTTCTCTTCTCACATTACTCTACATATCAACACTATTTTTCATGCTGATTATGTAAATTCTGCTCAAGTAGAATAGCTCCTGAACTTTGGTCATGCTCTGATGACCTCCCAGCACTCCTTCCATATTGCTAATTTCTAAACTATTCTGAGCTTCTGAACCATTGTCCTTGATTTTTGGATTGTTGAATGTTTCTCCTTACCCTTGATTCACCACCACCACTGAGTCTTTTGATATTGCTAGAAACTGTTCCTTCTTCCCTGATGTCCATTGTCTCTATCTCTGGTGTACATCTTGAACAGAGCTGGTTCATATTTTTATTATTTGTTCAATACTTAGCAATTTTAAGTTCTTTAGAAATACTCACATACCACCAAATTAGGACCTTAAGTCTTACTATTGTGTTTTCTGTCTTCCACTCTGATTGCAGGCGGTCTAAGTGTTTTCAATGGTGCTTATATTATCTGGGCTGTTTCTGTCCTGTATTGCTAGTCGTGTGTCAAAAAATATAAAGAACAGCAAAACAGTGTAGCAGGGCCAAAGGAAGATAGTGGACGAAATGCTGCTTACTTTTCTACACTGGATTTGTTCTGGGAAGTAGAAAGGGTGGGGAGCATGTTTTCCTTTCTTCCGCCTCTGTATTTTCCTCTCTTGCATTTTTCTATTCTGCCCCCATTCCCATTGGTTCCATTTTCCATCTGAATCAGGGCTAGATTGGGGGAATGAGGGCACTATATGGATTCATTCCCCAGAGAACCTCCTTTTTGTGATATCCACCATTGGAGCCCCACTGGGAGAGGGCCCTTCTGCCATCACTGGGGAGCACATCCAAGGGCAGACGCCTCCCCCCTTGTGAAGTTGCAGAACCACTATGTCCTATGGCCCTGTGATGTCTCAAAGGAACAACAAAAGAATCCCACCACCACTCATACATCATAACGATCAAGTACTTCCAACATCTGAGTAGTGAAAATTCCCAGTGGAAACATTACAGCTATTTCCTTTGTATATGAGGGCGTATGGGAGGCTCCATGGTATCTTTGGTTTATTTACAAAAATGCTAGCAGAGTGAAGGCAGATTTGGATGATTATGTGTGTTTGTATGATGTTACATGACTTCTCCTTATCCTAGCACCCTCTAGATGGTTAGACTCTCACTCCTGCCAGCCCTAACCAGCATAAGGCAATGGTCAACAATCCTAGGATTTGTGGTCCAAGGCATCTGGAGGGCACCAGGTTGGAGGAGGCTGTTGATGCTGTTAGATGACTTCTTTTTGTCTGTCCCACAGCCGTGTGAGTCGACAGATACAGACCCTGTGTATGTGAATCTACAGGAGCTTCAATTGGAACCGAGAACTGCTTCTGCCAGCAGTGCTGAAGCCACACTCCAGCCACCTCTCAGGAGCTCCCTGACCAACTGGGAGACACACACAGACACAGAAAGTGGTCATTTGTACTATTACAACCCAGCGACAGGCCAGACGACGTGGGAGCCCCCCTTCGGCACATCAGCGAATAGTGCAAGTCCTGCCCATTCTTGTTCCCCTTCACTTGCCCCCAGCCCTTCCACGCCTGCTGAGTGGGACCAATATGTAGATGAGGCCAGTGGGCACATCTTCTTCTACAACACAGCAACAGGCGAGACTTCATGGCATGCTCCCACAACGGATGAAGTGCTTGACTACTCAGAGATGCAGCCTGCCTTTTCTCCCTACAGCCCTGTGGATCAGAGGGTAAATTAAGGGGATTACGTGGTACTGGGATTAGGAGACAGATTTTGATGGAGTGGATGGATGGTCCAGGAAGACTGATACACACTGGAAACATCTATTCCTGTTTTTAAGGAATTGATTTGGAAGAAGTTTAGGAAAATCTGGTCTGAGGAAAAAGCTATTGTGAGCTTCTGTAGCTGGGAAAGACTCTTACGTCTATTGGGAACCATAACCAAATATATTTAATTGAAGAATCTCTTACCCAGGGTGCAGAACTGTTTTGAGGGCTGGAATGGAGTGCCTCCCAGCTGGCACACTGAAGGGCTGCATGATGTAGTCCACCGATATCATCGCCCTGTCCTGTTCCTCCCAGGAATTGCCCGACCGATTCACAGAGAGGGGAATTCTGGTGCTTGGAGAGCAGACTTCCTGTGCCCCACGCTGTGCCTGGCATCCTTGCAGACATTGCTCCTCGCTTGGAGCAGCTTCTGGTGCCACAGGCAGCTGCTTGACCCGAACCTGGAAGAATGGCAAATCCCCACTGCCTGCATTCCTGCATAATGAGCCTTGGCACAGTGGATCCCTGCTACTATTTCCCGTTTCCAGTGGCATTGGCTGTGGGGATGCCCTTGGGGATGGGAAGTGTACCTTCCAAGACCAGGGGCTTGAAGAACCCCAGGAGGTCGCATGGGCTAGTTTGGGGACCCAGCGAGCAGATTTCTTTAACCATTCTGAAGAGTGCCATTTTATTCCCTTTTGCAAACATTTCTCCTTAATAGATACCTTCACTTTTGTTCATTTTGAAAGGTTGACTGTAGTGGTGGTGTCAATCCTATGCTTATATGAACAAGGATACTGAGTTTCTTTTAGGTATAACAGGACTTATTTTGGCTAACAGTTTTATGGCTGAAGCAGCATATCCTAATGGTGATGCCACTGGGGAATCAGAACAGATGGTGTGTTTCTGTTGAAGTAACTGGGACAGAGGAAGATATAAAGAGAGAGTGGACATCTTAGGATGAAGGAAATAGCTATTTACTTACTGTTCCCTTCTCCGATCCCTCTTCCAGCTCCCAGGAGTTAATGTTCTGCTGCACCCTGTGGCATGATAGTGCTGCTGCTTAATCTTAAGCTGGTTCATAATAAGATCCTGCCTATCCATAATTGCAGCAGAAGGTGCTAACCTGGCATATATTAGTGCAACTTGGGTTTAGCTGGGTGGAATTGATCTGACCCAGCTTTGCCCATCTGGGTACTTCATATATTGTCAGGACAGGATAAAGGGTATCAGTGGGTGAATGTGGTTCGCCATACTCCCTGTACATACAGTTTCACTCACTAGAAAAACCTTCTGATTTGGGGTTGGCCTGGCTTTGGGATGCTGCTGGTATAACTCCCACCATGCTGCCCAGCCTCCTCCTTGACTTTGGCTGAGATAGTCTCTAGCTAGATGCTGGAAAAACACAGGACAATGGCCCTGGTGGACTTCAGTGTTCATATTTGAGGTCTCTTCCACTGGTCAGCCTAGATCATATTCTCTCCAGCTCAACTCATGTATGCTTGATTTACCCTCAACACTTGCCCCAGTTGTAAAATGAATGGGGGCCTCCAGGGAGATCACTGCTCCCTGAATTATTTAAAGAGAAGGGACATGCTATGTGTGTGTTGCTGACTTGTGTCTGGAATTTTTTTTCAGCCCCCAACTCCAGAAACTGACTACCCCAATTTTTCTCCTGATGAATTTGAACACTACCCTGAAGAGGATTATTCTCCCATTGGTTCCTACCAGCATCAGGACTATCCTCATGTCCCTGCAGCAGAGCAGGGCTGGGCTCCTTATGGAAACCAGGAGGGACTGGTACTTGAGAGCTACCATTATGCCTCAGATTTGGTAAGAAGAGTTTGGAAAGGGTGTGGGATAGTGGGTCAGAGTAGCAGTGCTGCTTTCTCTGAGGGAAGGAGGCACCCTGGGGAGGTACCCAGGGCCCCATTCAAATACAGCAAATTGACAGCTACTTTAGCAAGTTAAACATGTATCGGAAGGGATTCCATTCAAGTTTTCTGCCTAAGGTGCCTAAATGGTGTTCCTTATTTCCCACTTGCCTAAGGAGTGACAAAGTACAAGATTCCATTTTTGGTTCTGAATAACCAGACTCTGAAATCATCAACTTGTTATCTCCAAATGAAATGAAGCCGCAATGCTTTTTGTTTAATAAAGAGCCACAGGAATACCCAGTTGGTACTTCTGGTGATGAGGGTGGGGAGAATGACAATTGGATTTAAGCTTTTGCTCCTATACCTGGTATTTACTAAACAAAGCATAAGTGCTCTGCTGCCTAGTTGGGTGTATATGGTTACATCTAATTAGTGAGATCTGTGTAGAGTTACCAACCCGGAACATGTGTAGGAGGAGGCAACACTCAAAGGCAGTGCTAGTCTGTAAAGCCACCTCTCCCAACCTGGTGTCCTCCATATATGTTGGACTACAGGGTCCAATCTTCAGCCAACATGGCCAGTAACCATGCTGGGAATAGCAGTCTGGAGGACACCAGGTTGTGCGGAGGCTGCTTTAAAACGTACGGCTTTGTTGCGATGGGGGCGGCATAGAAATGTTTTAAATAAATAAATAAGTGTCAGTTGCTGAAAAACCCTAGTCCTCTTTCTTCTTGCCAGCTATGTTGCAAGTCCCCGACTTCTGCCCTGCTGCCCTGCCACACAAACAAAGAGGAAACACAGATCTAGCTGGTAGAGATGTTCTGGCTGGCAGTACTCAAGAGTTTTCATGGGCCATTGAAAAAACCTCTCCAGAGGAAACATGAATTGATTGTCAATTAATATTAGCAAGTGATTAAGCAAAAGATTATTTAAAATTGTATATAAAACCAAGTGTCCTTTAAAGATACATTTGTCACTGTTTTGATTTGACTGGGTCATTCTTCTACTTAATAATTTCTTAGGAGGCAGAAATTAAAGGTTCTTTTCGCTGCTGGTCTTCAGATTTTAATCTCTGAGGAAAATTTGTAATAAGTTGAAATGTCTTTTTCTTTTCATTTTTTGAGAGTCCTTTAATGGGGATATGGGCCCATCTATCAGATGTTAATTAAGTAGGCTAATAATCCATTTAGAAAAATAGAAATTTGAATGAGGCAGGGGTTCAGAGCAGTTGTGGTCCATGTTTATCCTGTTAATGAAATTATATTGTTCAGGCAATTCCAGCCAGCCATCACCACAGTACCAGCAGTGGATCCAGTCTAGAGAGCAGCCCTTTTGGGATTTTGTCGTCCAGTCTCTTGACTTTCTCAGACCCAAAGGAGGAACAGGTAAAGAAATCAATGAAAGCAAATGTGAAGAGGGACGTCAATAACGCACCACAACAAGAAGATAAGCAAATATTCTGGTCTCTTGTGTACTTGGAGGCACTGGAACTATAATTGAAATGATGGAGGGCAAAAAAGTGTTATAGGGCAAGGATGGACAACAAATGGGTCACATATGGCCTCTGCTGCTCTCCCTGCAGACCCCACCACCTTCCATTATCTCTGAAACTCTGTATACTTTTTTACACACCAGAAATTGTGTCAGTACACCAAAAGTTTGCCTTGGAACTTTAACCATTGTAGCACTCTGTCATGCTAAGAGTTTGTAGGCAATTTGATCCTTTCCTTAAGTAGTCCCACAGAAAGTGCATTTTAAAATGGTTCCCAGTCCTCTTAGAAGTGCCCACCCATGGTAAAGAAAGATGTGCCAAAGACCAGATTTTCCCCCAACTCCCCAAGCAGCCAGCCACCTGACAATTCCTGGAGCCACAGCTCCTAGTATTTCTTTTCTTTTTAAGATATCTCTTAAACATTGTAAGTGGGGAGGCAACAAGGGGAAACAAGAACCAAGAACAAACTGTAAGAGTGCCTTAAAAAGCCAATACTTGTGTTGGATTTAGTTTCTGGGAGAGCATCAAAAGGTTAAGCTAAAAGATTACCTTTGGGAAACATTTCCAGAACAAAAACAAGACAAAAATTGCAGAGCAGAGAAAGAATCATAAAAATGTTTCTAAGAGCTGAAAGGGGGGCTTTTGTTTCAAGCAGGTTTGTAATGCAAATTCATTTTCAATGTAAATACTCTTTCTGCTGTCTTTTCTATGTCAGAGATGTCCACAAAAGTAGCATGAGCAGGAAGCTCTTACTAGAAATAGGAAAATTGGGATAGATAGACATGGAACTAGGACAGGCTTAAACCACAGCCTTCTTTTTTTCCCCAGTTCAAAACTCTTGAAAAGGCTGGCATGCTCTATCGAACAAAAACTGCGGAGAAAGGAAAACGCTTGAGGTAAGAAGGACTTGCTAGTGTGTCTTGAGAAATTCTGCTGTTCTTCCTACAATTCTCCATGAAGTGAAGGAATGTAAAAACATAGTTAAGACTAGGTTTAATTAAAATAAAACCCAAAGGCAAATAGCAAAAAGAGATGCAGGGAGTTTACTCTAAATGCTTTGATCTGAACATGTACTTTGGTACCTTTGCCCAGTCACCTAGGACCTAGATATGGGACTCTGTTTTCTGGGCAGTGCTGCTGCCTCTAGGATTACCCCATATTGCAGCCTACACCATAGAATTGTGGTGGTACTTTTTTAGTCACACCTCCTGGTTGGTGTCACTCTTCATAGATTTGCAAAGAGGAACAGGGTGGGATAGAATGGGAGACATAGCTAGGGAAGGGGACAAAATTAATTTGGTTTGCATTTCATATTATACTGATCTAATTTGCACTTCATAAAATAGTTTGCAAACTGGAACACAGTCTTTGACTTTTGCACTTTTCCAAAAGCTCTCCAAACACATTGTGGTGTAGTGGTTAAGAGTGCAGGACTAGGAGTCAGGAGATCTGGGTTGTACTCCTTGATCAGCCATGGAGCTAATTGGGTTACTTTGGGCCACTCACAGACTCTCAGCCCAAACTACCTTCACAGGAAAAAGGTAGGATATTAACAAAATAAAATGTATACATTAAAGGAAATTGTGGACAAAAAGCATAGATTAGGGAAATATGTTTGTATCACTAGATAAAATTGTATGCAAAAATGTGTATGAATTCAGTGTTCAAAAAATATCAAAAAACTGTTGTGGAAGGAGGCTGGAATAAACTTGTAAAAAACGCAAAAGGTATCCTAACCAAAACAGATTTGTCTGTTCCTAAATGCATCTGGAAGATGGCTTGATTTTTGAGGTACACCACAGTAGATGCTGCTGAAGATGGGTAGCAAGCAGAAGGCAGCCTTTTCTCTGAGTTGGAATCCCATTCCTCTCTATTTCATGCCACCCAGTTAGAAATGCCCTGTGTACAATGTGTTCTTTTTTTGTCTTCCCTTAGAAAGAATTGGAGTTCTTCATGGACAGTTTTGGAAGGTGGAGTCTTATCATTTTTCAAAGACTCAAAGCATTCAGCATCTGGCAGTGTGGTGAGTCCTCATGCTCAAATTTAAGGGCAGACCAGCTGATATTCCAAATGTTCAGAGTCTGGGAAGAGAGAATCCATCTCCCAGTGGAACCAGGATAACCTAATGGATCAAAGTTCCGTTCAGTTGGGATGCAGGAGAGCGTCTACTTAGTGGCCACATGCAAGCTTTGGAACCCTTCCTTTGGGAAGCTCATTTTGCCTGCTCTGTCGAATGAAAACTTGCTGCTGCTGCTGTTCATTTTCCAGGTGTCATTTCACCTTCCAGCTTGACAGCAGTGTTAACTCCTGACTGATTGGCTTTTAAAATTTGTCTTTCACCTTGTATCTCTGCTTGCTTGCTTGCAAAAGTGTTAGATGCTCCCTTAGATGTTTTTGAAAGGAAGTGGGGTTAAGATATTTTTAATAAATAAATTGCCCTGCAAGGGTGCTGGTGTTTTAGTTTCTTTTTATAAAGAAAAATATTTTATAAAAGATGCATTCTAGATTTTAAGGGCTTTCATATCTACAAGCAATGTATGTCCTTCATATTGGAACAGCTCAGCATTTTCATTTATCTTTGGTCTCTTATAACAGAAAGAGCTTTTCACTTTGGAAGTGTTGTGTGAGAAACTAAGTCTTAAAGCAGGGCTAGCCACAGGAATAATTTGACAGATAGAAGGGCGTGTGGGATTCTTGCTGCACTTTACTTGTGGGTATTTTTGGATTTTTATGACTTTCCTTCATCTCACCTGTAGAAGCACCCTTCTGTGTTGAGCAGCCCGGAGCACACTGTGGATCTTCATGGAGCAACACTTTCTTGGGCCAGTAAAGACAAGTCAAGCAAAAAGAATGTCTTGGAAGTAAGGAATGGTTACCACATCTCTTTCTGGGAAGAGCAATGCAGAAAACTGATTTTCCACTGCCTTAGAGAAACATGAGCATAATTTCAAAAAGCAGATTTTAAAATATTTTAAAATCCTCAGCCTGATGCTGAGAATGCAGTTGCATTTTTGCATGCTCCTTGAGTATAAAGATTCTCCTCTGTGAAGGCTGAACCTCTTAAAAATCAACTCTTGTTAATCTTTTGATATGGTGGCTTTAAATATATATATATATATTGTCATGGAGGGAGTACAGTGCTGCAAGCCACAAAATTAATCTTGTGCTGCAAGTCACAAAATTAAAAGCAGAAGTCCATATTTGTGGACTGCATCCTATCTCCAGAAGGAAAGTGGTAGAAAAACCTGTGTGGCATTTTCCTAGCCAGCACCTACCTCAGGGACTGCCAAGCACATAACAGACCTCTCTCTATATCCCTCAAAAGCAGTGTGTTGCCAATGTTCCTGTTGACTTACTACACAGAGCAGCAACAACCCCCAGTCATTCTATAAATATTACCATTACTTCATTATTTTATACTAGACACTTTATCAGCCCTGAGGTATTGTTTGGCTGCAATTTGCTGAAATTGAATGGAAAATAAGAGTTTCATAAAGTCATCTATAATCCAGTGGTGCCCTTTCCCAAGGCCAATATTTTGTAATGTTTACATACAACTCCATTCCATTTAAGAAAACGTTCTTTGTAATACAAACTGGAAGCCTCCTGTTTGCTGGTTTACCACTTTTATTGATTTTTGGCTGGCAGGCTAGTCATTCAGTGGCCCTTGTTTAGTCAGCTTTTCTTAAAACATAGAAATGGAGTGAGTCAGAGGGGGTCTCCTGGGCCATCTAGTCTGACCAGCTCCAGCCAACTCCACTCATGACATGCCTACCATTCTACATGTTTGAGCTTTTTCTCCCATTATAGCAAACTAGCATGTTGTGGCAGTGGGATAATAATGGAAAGAAGTTTTTAACAGAAAAAAGGCTGACTACTCAAGAGGCAATTTAATTTGATACATCCTCTACCCCAGGGAACAACTAGTGGTCAAATAAGAGCAAATAATCACTAATTCCCCCAGTCATGCGGAGCAAGAAGAAAAATGGGCCATCTGTCCTGACCTGAAAGTTTTCCGTTTAAAAGGACAATGTCCCTAAACCTCTGTGTTTCCATCTGCATTGGATAGGCTAGTATTACAACTTGAATTTTTACGAAGGAAAAAATCACAGGCCATCAGGTCTAAATAAAGGTGGCAGGAAGAATGATTCTGATGGATTCTCCATTAAGACTTGAACAAATGAAAGCGCATAATTTCTAGAGAAAATGGATAGTGAGGAAGTAGCATTCCTGACAGCACCAAATCTAGAAGGCAAATTTGACAGCACCCATATTAATTGGAGTTTTTTGTTGTAGGATCTACACATTTAATAGAGAACAGAAAAAAATCAACAAAAACACCAACTAATGTTTACAGTATCACCTAAATAATATGCTAAGAGAAACATCAGGTTTAGGAAAGAATTACACATTCTAAAACTTAATTTTGATTAGCCCTATTCCCCACATCTGTCTGTCTATATGTACACACACACACATCATGCTGGATCTCTGTAAGACATGATGATAACAATGCATTTGAGCTGGTTTAGAATGTACTTCCTATATCTGAATTTAGGGAGAGGGGAAATGCATCTAAAATTATATGGTAGAGTTCCCAACCCAGAAGGTGAGATTGCAGGGTGGTTTGGGGTCTGTCACCTTTCATCTCAGGTATGTTGAAGTACTGGAATGCCCTTCATAATAGTACTCTAGACATTCTTGTGAACTGCATTACATCTAGGAATATTTCTCAGAATTCTTGAGATTGTGTTCATCTTCTCTCTGGGTGTCATATACACACTTTTGTTCTGTTCTAGCTGAAGACACGGGAAGGCTCTGAGTATCTTATCCAGCATGATTCGGAGACAATTATTGGCACTTGGCAGAAGGCAATTGCTAACAGCATCAGCAGATTGGTGAGTTGGGAGTGGGGGCTTGTCCCATACTGATATCCCATTGTTTTTATCCATGGAAGCCCCTGAATGACTCCCCTGGCAACTGATCGTATAGCATATCTATTGTAAGAGGGAAGCAAGGACTTCTCAGTAGACCTTGTGGAAGAGGCAGGGCAAGGAGAAACAGTTTTTTCAGTGCATATATTTGACATAGGAAGCAGTAAACCATGTCGTCATGACATGACATAGATGTTGTGTAAATGTACATCTGAATTTTTTGCAATTTTTAAAAAAATAATTAGGAAAAGAACCTAAATTCAGCACACTTAACATTGCAATTCTAATCAGGTTTACTCCAAAATAATGCAGGAGGAACAAGCTGAATTTAAAGTACTTCACTTAATTTTAGATCATTGCTGTGTATTAGCTCTCTTGGCAGAGAAATATACTTCAGTCTCTGGTGGAAAGCTTTTTTTTACCTTTATTGACCTTAAGTCAGCTTTCAACAAGTCAGCTTTTATACTGATAATTTTAATTTTGTATTTGTAAATCAATGTATTTTTTGTATTTTTATATTTAATGGTAATTTATTATGTACTATTGTATTTCAATGTATTTTATCATGTTGTAAGCCGCCCCTTGCCGAAACCTCGGGGCGGCT